TTTATGGTGAGGAGTTGTTAGCCCCACGCCCAACCCCCAGGCTGGAGGGCCACCCCTTGTCGGCTGTCTGCGACTGCTTATTCAATATATTCACAGCTTCCCTCCAAAACTGGAGGGCATCTCCTCCATCTGCAACCTGAGGACGCACCATGCCGTGGTGACAGGGACCCACCTAACATGGTCATACAGAGCCATTATTTCTCCAAATCTTTGTACCTTTGAAAAGTGATCCACCTAAGGACTGCATATTCTTTTATCATTCTCCTTATTCCTCTGGATTTTCTCAGGGCCCCAGCACCAATGCTTCTTCCTATATCCACACCACTTTTTCTTTGCTTGGTTTATTCTACATTGGAGGTGGAAGGAACATATTTCTTGAGAACATCGCCAAGTGTCTGGCAAACTGTATTGTGATGCACTGCAGAAGACAGGAATCTTCATGAAAGTGTTGTTTTGTATCGAACATATTGTCACGCATTGGGCATGTCGCGCAACAAGTAACTTCTCGCCGTCTTGATAATATAGCGAATTTATTGAACACTCACTCTCACAATTACTGCCATTGGCAGTATCACAAATACTTCTCCTGCTGGAGACACTGCCATGCACTCAATACAACCCAACTCAGCGACTGCTGCAATTCAACTGATTGGTTAATCGTTACTCGCTAGTAACTTACTCAATGCTCACTCGTAACTGGATCAGTCCTCACTCTAGTAACTGGTTCACTAAACACTCACTACTGAATAGGTACCACTGTTGCATGATGCCGTGTTCACAAGTTGCCTAGCAACACTGTTGAGAGTTGTTTACTGCTGTCTAGTAACCTCAGTATCCCTTGTTACGTCACCATGGGGGAGGGTGTGTTTACCGAGCGTTGCGTGAAAATGGAAGGGGTGGGGGTATATGACGTCACTTGCAAGACTGCAGAGTTCACATGACCCCTACTTCCCGTTGCGCCATCCACACTACACTCCACGTCACAATATTGTCACATGTAGACCCATTGCTAGGTAATGGCCCAGACATACACAGCAGAGGAACATGTCATATGTGGTGATGTCACGCAACAATAGAAGAGGTGTTGCAAGCAATGTTCTCTGTGAGTCTGCTCTGAGGCTATTTGACTGGACCAGTCAAGTTCAGTTAGTGAGTGCAGTGCAGCTGAGTACAGTGGAATGAAATGAGTTGGTTGGTGAGCTGTCTATTAGAGGACTGCTGCAGTTCAGTTGTTGTGAGCCATTGCTGTTAGACTCTGGTAGCTGAGGCGCTGGGATAGTTAGGGAACCCAGAATAAGGGGAATGTCTGCTGTTGGAAGCCACTACCAATAAATGGCTAATGGAAACTATAACAGACTTGAGAACACTGGTCTGTGTGTGATAGTGATTTGTGAAGTGTAGTAACGAGCGTATAAGTGTCCAGTAAATCCAATTACTAATGCAGACCCCTTCTGTAGTCACTCCTACATGTGGCCATATGAATCCCAAGAACTCTTTTTGTGTAATACTTGAGGCATATAATCTCTTGTGCCTTGCGTCCATATTTAATCCTTATTTTGAGTGATGTTAATATTTTTCTTTCACTTTTAATGTACACTTTGAAATAGAAATAATAACTATCTAAACCACCTGCAAATTTAATATATCCCATCCATCCACCCACATATAATGGTTTCCTTGATATAGGTTTAGCTTTGATAATTTGAAGTTCAATTTGCCTTTTATGGAACCTTAAGATTTATTACCATAGTTAAATGAGCCTGCCACTGGTCCCTATCCTGAACCAGGAGAGTCTAGTTCACATATACTCTGTTTCTTTTAAAGTCCATTTTAATATTATCCTCTCATCTCTTCCAATGTTTTTATTTTTTTTTTTTTTTGCAAGTTTTTCAGCTAAGTGTTAGTATGCATTTCTCATCTCTTTCATGCATGCCACATGCCCCCCATTTCATCCACCTTCATTTGATCATCCTAATTATATTTAGTAAAGAAGACGCATGGATAGCTCAGTGTGGATAATGATTAGGTTAGAGGCTGGATAACCAGGGATCAGGGTTTGATTCCTGGAGGGGGCAAAGATTGTTTCCTTCCTTGCTGTATCGAGTCCAGCTTTATGGCCCACTCAGTGGTTTCCATAAGGATAAAGTAACTGGGCTGTGAAGCTTGCCAGTGTCTACATGTGATGCCTAAGTTAACACATTTGCTGCTGAAATCAGTGTAAGTTGGTTTATAAAAGGTACTTTAATACTACCAGTGTTGGCTTAAGTTGCTTTAGAGCACCTGTCATACTTTGAATTAAATTGTAATAGATCACATCATCTGTAATTTTTTTTTTTCTGCTTTTACCAGAGGTATGAAATAACTTTCATATATGTTTGTCTTTGGGAGCGTGGGTCAGAAGTGAGGGTGGATGATAGGTCACTGTGACAGGTTTTAAAAATATTCCTGTAATTGCACAGACTTTGGCAGATGTGAGTAATATTGAATGAGAACTAAATTTGGAGTGGCTGAATGAGTCAATGTCTGTGGCAGTCTGTGGCTCTATGGGAAGTGTGGCTGAACAGTAAATAGGAATGAGAAGAAAACAGAGGGGAGAAAAGGAAATGAACAGAGGTGGGGGGGGGGTCTTCTTGGATAAAAATGCCTGGATTAAATCCAGATAGAATAATTGCGGAAGGCACTGAACTTGTAGATTGAGTAATGTTTAGGCATCATCTCTGTTTCTTCAGAACATAGAGCATGGTCTTCCAAATTTGGCTGAACAGATAACAGTCTTCCATGTTGAAGTTCTGATGTAGGTTGATTTCAGCAGGTTTGCAAATGTTCCTAATTTCAAACGGAAGTAGAATTTCTATTACATGACTTTTAATCTTCAAGGAATACATCCTGTTGTGTGTTAAAAACTCAGTTAACAAAACAGAGTGGAAGTGAGTTATTTTAATTAATTGTTGTGTTTGACAGGTATACAAAAACAAATGTGCGTGTGTACACATTGGTTATTATATACTTTGGTTTTCATTTTCATTTCAGTTGCACATTGCTGAGAAGAGCTACTTCAAACCAAGTGTGTCAGTGCAGTCCTCACTTGGAGAAGTATCAATAGCTCAAGTGTTGCCTGCACGCACGCAGTCTGTCACATACAGCAACCCTCTCACTTCTACAACAGCACTCTTTCCAGCCACATCTTGTACAAGTCAAGGAACGACTACACTTATTGCATCCCAACCCCACCCACTGACCCTATCACAAGGCATGGTCAGCACAACAGGTAGTGGCCAAGGCTCAGCCACAGTCTTGACAGCCCCAGGCAGGCTTACAATGTCCAGTATTCCTGGAACAAGTCTTCCTGCTCAGGGGACCATACTTGCTGCTGCAACCACTCAGCGACCAGGACAAGTGTCTAATGCAGCAGTCCTGGCAGCTCCTGCTTGTTTAGCAGTCTCTACAGCTAGTCAGGGTCCTGGCTCTGCTCAAGGAACCACTCGCCTCACTGCAGCTGCATCAAGTGCAGGGCAAGGAACCATCATAGCAAGCTCTGCTCGCATCACCACTTTGCCCAGCTCAGTCCTCACCTCTGGTCAGGGAACTGCTGCTTTGTTGACTGGGCCAGCTCGACTCACTATGACCTCCAGTATCCCTATTCCAGGCCAGAATGCAGTACTGTCAGGCCAGACTCGTTTACAGGCGGTGTCTTCAACTGTTCCCACAGCGATTGCGGCCTCATCCTCATCAGGAGCTGTGCTAGCTGCACCAGCCCGTATTGCAGTTTCAGCTAGTTCTGTTGGCCCTCCGGTTCAGCAAGGTGCTCGTCTTACTGTATCTGCTAATTCTGCAGTTGTGTCAAATCCAGGACAGAACACGCTGATTACGGCTCCCACACGTCTTACTGTGTCATCAAACTCATCCATGACTTCTAGTCCAGGCCATCAAGGAACTACTGTCCTGGCAACTCCTGCACGTCTGACTGTTACGTCAGGTGTCCCCAGCTCAGGCCTTCCACCTACAGGTGTTGTGTCACTTCATCCAGTAGTTGTCTCGAACACAAATCCAAGCCTGGCCCTAAAACCATCCTCACACAACCAACTCGGAACATCGGGCAGCAGAAATGTTAACACTCATCAGAATTTGGGACCAAAGGTATGTTAATGGCATTCCAGTAAGATAATACATCGATATATTTTTCTTTCTTCCAGTTATTCATGTTATTACATTTTTTAGAATTATTTAATTTTTCACATTGCAAAGGCAGGTACATGGTCATAGCATTCTGAGCATTTCAAGCCAATTTAACAGTAGGTAGATTGGCTGAAAGGACAAAAATATAACAAGTGGGAAAATTGTGTTCCATAATGTATAGACAAAATTTCCTACAGCATTCTTTGCAGCTTATTGAGTTTCATGAAATGCTGATTAAGTGGTTTATGATATATACATGAAAAAGTCCATCAACGTATGTGAAATAGGCTTTGTAATTGGTCATTTGGGGGGAGAAAAAAAAGGTCCAACGTTATGTAAAGCTATCTCCCATCAGATGTCATCAAAATACGATCAACAATTTATGATGTAAATTAAAAGTTCATTCATAATCTTATATGAGAGGCGTTTAGAGAGTAACCTTCAGTGAGCTGTTAACAAAACATGGAATGATAAAAAAATTATTATATACAAAAAATACATCCATACCTAAGCTACTTCTCAACATAGTCACTGCTGGAATTGAGGCACTTATCATATGGAGGAATAAGTTTTTATGTGTGCCCAAGAAGTCTGCCACCTGTGAGCTCAACCACGTTTAAACACCTTCCATCACTCCAGATTATTGTTGAAGCACACTCTGATTTCAACCAGTTCTTCAGGTAGGTGATAAGGTGATAGTCACTTGGAGTGAGATCAGAGCTGTAAAGAGGGTGGTCAGACAACTCCTAGCTGAAATGCTCCATCAGTGCTCGAGTGCAAGCAGCTGTATGTGGATGCGCGTTGTCATGGAGGAGCATTATGAGTACACTGTATGTCAGCATTCCACACCTCTTGTTCTCAGTGGTCCTACACAGTTTTTTTTAGTGTTTTGCAATACACTTCTGACATTATTCTGGTCCATTGTTCCATGAATTCCACTGTCAGCACTGCTTTTCTGTCCCAGAAAACAGTTGTCATCAGCCTTCTAGCAGGCAGGCAACGTTTTTTGGGGTGAATGTGTGTGCATCCATTGCTTTGACTGCTCTCTGGTTTCATGATTCACAAATGAAACTCAGGTTTAATCAACTGTTACCCATGCAATGTGATTGAGAAATTCGCCATCTTTGTGGTATTGCTCTAAAAAAAGCCAGTGCCAAAGCCATTTCATGCACACCCAGGGGCATTTTTGGAACCTGTCTTACAGAAAACTTGTGATAGCCTAGCTTAACTGTGATAATCTCATAGAGAACAGTGCATGAAATCTGTGGAAAGTCACATTAGAGTTCTAAAATTGTGAAGCGCCGTCTTTCACAGATTTTTTGGTCAATGCATTGCACAAGATCATTCCTCACTACAAATGGCCGACCACTTCACTCTTCATCGTGAACCTTTTTTGTGCCCAGATTTGAACATTTTGCACCATTGTCTTACATTTCTTTCACACATTGCACTTTGACCATAAACGGCACATAATTTATGATGGATTTCTGCAGCGCTCATGTTTTTAGCGTGAAGAAAGGGGATAACAGCTCGAATTTTGCAGCTGGGGGAATTATCAGTCACATGACGTATAACTCACTCTGTGGTGATAAGAACGAACACTAGGTGACCAGTTGTGTGATGGTTTACAAAGCAGTGAGTCGTGACACTACCTTGCATGTGTGAGCTCTCCCCTGCTGTTACATTATTTACCTAAAATAAGCGGAGGTTACCTTCTGAATAGCCCTCATATCATAGAGAATAGCCCACCGTTCAGGTTTACATTTCATAATTTAAATTTGGGACTGTAAATGAGGACATGAAACATATCTGAATATCTTACTTGAACAGAAACATGAAGAAAAGTCAGATTTAAGGCTTTCACGGCGGTGACTGTGAAAAAAAGTGATTAATTTTGCAGTGAGTCAATTGCAGTTGCAATCATGTCATGAGAGATCAACAGTAACAGAGGTTCTGCATATGCCATGGTCACTTTCCCTGTCTGTTTACTGCATAATATATTTTAAGCTTCCCATGGTATGTTCTGCTCACATGTGGGAGAGTGCAGTTCAGCCATCTGTGAAAAGCATGGTGCATAGTTAGATCTCCATTTGCTGTTTCTGTAGGGATCACCCTATTTGGACACTAAGTGGAAGAAAATCGTTAATAGCAGTAATTTAATACTGAGATTATTGATTTGGGGTCATTGCAATTCGAAGTTAAATGAAGGAGAACCTGAAATTGAAGAACATTAAATTGGGGTTCCATTTATTTGTAAATTAAACATTTTTGTTACAATATTTATGAAAAAAAATATTTATAATGATTTTTATAACATCATTATGTAGTGAGTAACACGCTTTTGTATTCGGGGGTGCCCCAAATTCAAAAATTGACCGTAGGACCTGCTATTCTCACAAGATTTTTTTAATTTTTCACAGTTCCTCCAGACAAATGCATGAATAATAACTCGGATTAGACCACGACGGGATCCTTCCATATCCTGTAATCATCCTGTCATTTGACACTATATAATTTAAGCAAGTGTTAATCAAAATTCAGTGAAAATAGTAATATTTCAGTGCCTAGATTGAGGTGCAACTTATAGATGTTGAAATTTCAGTTGAATGCAACAGGAACTACTGATCTCTTAGATTATGCAAAACTAAAGGTTAATATTAGTTGAATATTTTATACATGTGCTTCCTAGAGCTCTTAGATAGTAAAACTATGTCACTGAAAGAAACCAGTCACAGAATTTGTTTACTAAAAAAGAGAACTTGACCAATTTCACACAGAAGTAATGGAATTTTGCATTGAAAATCATAATACTTATGGTCTTTTCAAAAAGCTGTCTGTGTTGTCTTGTTGCTTTGAAATGACAATGTGAAGGTTGTCTAAATATCAGAAGATTGTCCTATGTGTGAATGTGTTTCTGTTCTTGTACTTAATACAAGAAAATCATGAAGCCCCTTAGGATAGTTGATCTCTGGGCTGAGAGTTGGACCAGGTTGCTCCTGAATATAACATCCTTGGCCATGATATTTGGTGTGAAGACAGTTTGTTTGAATATGTACTCATATTTATTAATTGACTGCAGAACATTTATTATTTACTTTTATGTGATTTTTGGGTGGTGTGACAGGTCATAACACAACCTGCACATGGCCCTCCAATCCAGATTACACAGGTGCCAGTGAGCTCTGTGTCTGGTAAGCTGCCCCAACCTCTGCACAGTGTGACTCCCTTGCAGACAGCTATAGCAATCACTACAGGAGCCACCAGAACTGGTAAGCTTAATCTGCACTGCTCAGAGAACTCCAGTTTTACTCTGTAGTCATAATGTTTCCAAACATGTATGTAACTTACTGCAGTGTCATATAGGATGTTACGTTTGAGGAAGTTTTTAGGTAGAGTTATAATTTAAGAAATTCTGAGATAGAATTGATTAATCTGTTGGTTGGCATAGTGAGAGGCTGTGAACATATATCAGCATCAGATGTTTGATATTAAAGTTTTCTTTGAATATTAACTAGCGTGTTGAGGGTTTGTTTCCAATCTTTAAAGTATGGAATATTAAATCTGGTGGACATTTTCAACTACCATTATGAGGATTTAAGCTTATAGTTGTAGGTTTGGGTAACCAAGATGTTTAAATGAAGATGGTAGTTTTTTCCACAATTTGTTTCCTGAAGTGTGGCAGCAACAGTTCATGAAAATAATTGTGTTATGTCATTAGAATGCCTAATTTGATACTAATTAGTTCATACATCACAATTTCGTAGTAGAAGTTGGGACTCTGCCATGCTGTTTTAACAGTTATAGTAGCTTACCCTACAGTAGGATTAACTCAGAACATAAAGTATGGACAAGTTATAAAAAGTTCATCGTTGTAGGTCCCTGTATTAATGTTCATTAACCCTTAAGTGCCCTGTTTGTATTTAAGGGACACTAATACCAATCTATGGTCTTACATAGTTTACTGAGTACAAGATAGAACTAGGTATACTGGTATGTACATGTGCATCTGTATCTGTGATTTACTTATTACATAATGTAAGTGTATTGATTTTTTATAAATCTGAAACATTACAAGTAATTTTGTATTGAAATTATACTTGCTTCTTGTTGTGTATTCAAGAAAGATTTGAAGATTTGTTAAGCATCTGAAGTAAAGTGTGAACCAGGATAGAGAAGTTGGTATAGTGACTGGGTACTGGCTGGATGACTGGGTTGTCAAAGTTTGAGTCCTGGTGGGGTCAAGAATTTTCACTTCTCCGTGTCATGCAGGCCAACTCTGGGGTGCACCCAACCTCCTATCCAATGGGTACAGGGGCTCTTCCCTCCCAGGGGTAAAGCGGCCAGGGGGGGAAGCTGACCACTCACCTCCAACTAGTGCCGAAGTCAAGAAAATGCGGATCTATACAACCACTCCTCCATATGCCTTGTTAAGCACAGGGACAGCTTTACCTTTATGAAGTAAAGTACCATCAATTTTTTAATAAATGTAGCAGTTTGACTGTTTCCATATAATTACAGAATTTTCTAGATGTCGTCTGCAGTGTGGACTGCTAATTTAATCCAGGTTTATTGTAGGGTCACAGATAACAGTCCTTTGTAATTTGTTAATCTGTATTGGTTTGTAGTGTGTGCCAACTTGTGAGTCATGTGGCATGTAAAGTATACTGTGTCACAGGGCAGCCAACTTGTTACAGAAATTGGAAGTCTCTAAAATACTGAATTTCTCAGAGTTCCAAATTTTAGATATCTGAATTCCAGTCAGTTTCTCAAGGCATTATCTACTTGATATTTATATACTTTTTCTGTAGTGAAAGCATGCTTTTACTGTGCACTGCAAAGAAAAAAATGTGCATTTTTGGCAAAGTATACAGTTTTACTCTCCTATTTTGTATCACATATGTATCTTGTTTTCCTTTTTTGCAGTTTTCTCCTTGTGTGAGGTTGTTCCTTTATTCCCAGATTTGTATTATACAAGATCAGAGCTCATACAGTTTAACAGTTTTTATTCTCATCACCACGAGGGAGCTTATTAGTTAGTTAGCTAGTTGGTTTGCAAATTTGAGCCTGGGAATGTGAGAATTCTTTCATCAGTTACATACATAGAGCAAAGTGTTGTTCATGTGTGTTAAGAATCCCTAAGAAACTGCTGCAGTCCATCGTCAAGTTCACTGATCAGTTCAGTAATGTTATACTGCAGCATCTTGTTGCACTGCAAAGGTCTGACTTTGCCTTTTGCTTTTATGCCGTCTATGTGCAACTTCAGTTACTAATCACTTATCATTTTTGTTTATTGACAACATGTTTCAGTCTAACCAGCCATCTTCAGGTGTAAAGGTTCTTGTGCTGAAGGAATCTGTTGCTCACTGTAAAGCTGTTTTTTCTCATATGTGGTTACCTGCGATTACTTCTGGTTATGTAGGTTAACCATCCATTTTAATTTTGGTGTCCTTGAGCTGCACGTGTTTGCCTTAACCTATAATATGTGACATTCAGAATGACAAAGTCAAGGAGGATGAGATAGGCAGGGTAGGTAGCGTGAATGGGGGAGAAGAGGAATGCATATAGGACATTGAAGGGAAACCCAAAATGAAAGAAACTTCTAGAAAGACCAAGCTGTAGGTGGGTGGATAATATTAAGATGGGCCTTAGAGAGATAGGATGGGGTTGTATGGACTGGATTTATCTGGCTGAGGATAGGGACCAGTGGAGGGCTCTTGTGAACATGGTAATAGAACCTTCGGGTTCCATGAAATGTTGGGAGGTTCTTAAGTAGCTGCACAACTGGCGGCTTCTCAAGAAGGGCTCAGCTCTATGATGTTAATTAGGTGTTTGAACCAAGACCTCAAAAAAGTAGTAAAAGTTTCTAAATACTTGAAGATGTCTGTTTCCATAAATGCAACATAAAATACAAGATTATAATTTTGAAACAAATTTAACTGCATAGGTAATCTCAGTATACAGCTTAATGTTTCAAGCCAAAATGTTGTAACAAAGGAGGCTTAGAAAACCAGGAATGAGTGCCAGTTCGTATCTCTCGACCATTCAGTTTTAATTCTGAAAATGCCAATTGGTTTCGCTTTCATTAATTTATTTTGACAATTTCTTAATCTTTTATTCCATCCCTTCACCCATGCTCCTCTTCTGTGTTATGTCTTAAATTTAATTGCAGTAGCATACACAGCTACGACAACGGTTACTACAAGTAATGTGTCCAGTATCCGCCCAGTTACGGTAGCCACTACATCAGCTATACCAGTGGCTAAAGTGTTCCCACAGGCCGTTGGTGTTGGCCGAGAACAGATTGGGACAAATTCTGTATCTGAAGTGACATTACCAGTACATGCAATCCAGACCTCTCAACCAGCACAACAGCAACCTCAGCAAACCATTGTGGCAACTCAGCAAGCTATTTCTCAAGCCACCAGTGTGTACATCCAAACTTCACATAGAACTTCGCCTGGTAATATATAATAGACATGCATTTTTATATCAAAAGATTTTTCTTTCTTTTTTTGTGTGTGTGTTGATTTTGTTTGCATTTCCCTGTTTAAGTACCAAGCTCTACTCAGGCATCTGTAGACAGAACAGCTTCAACACTTCCAACATATACACTTCCAACTACTTATTACTATGAAACCCCCAGTGGCTACCAGGTGGCAGGGGTAGGCAGCTCACTGGTGGCTCGACCATACAACTCTGGAAGTCCTTACACTGTGCAGACCACCACTACACCAGCACTGCGACCAGGAGTCACCACACATCAAGTACATGGTGAGATTATCTTAAATCTTTCACAAAATTTTCATTATATTGGTCATTATTTTCATCTGCCATTCATTCATTTATTATTGGAGGGGGTGGGTTTCCCCATGCGCCGCGACCAGTTGTTGATCTATTGTACGTCCCCCTTTGATATTCTACCAGTCGCCATACCCTTCCGGTACTGGTGCTCCCTATCAGCCCCGTTCAGCCAGCGAGTTCGGCCCCTCTACTGGCAGTGGTACCCGATACTTCCCCATCTACCGGAGGCATTGGAAACTACTTGGGTGGGAAACTTTTAACCTAATTTTGCTCAGAGGTCTCCTAGAGACATGGGGATCTTTTACGTGCCGTAAATCTACGACACAGGACCCGCAGCTTAAAGTCCCTCCCGTAGGACTTGTTCCCTGAATTATTCCGCCCTTAAAAATTCCACAACCTCCGCCTAGTTTGAACCCACATACCTTGAGTCATGAGGTGGGAATGTTACCCCTAGACTACGGAGGCCGCTCTCATCTACCATTAGTAAAAGGTTTTCTGTTTATTTGGTGCTTGTTTAGTGTGTTGCTTCAAAAAACAGCAGCAGGGACAGAAACATAAATCAAATGTATTTAAGCGCAAATTTAGATTACATTTTGCGGAGGACTGTCCTGTAAAACAGACAAAGAAAATCATCGATAGCAGTCCTGTAACTGCCTAATTTCTAACATCATGCATTAATAAACATAGGTCACCTAATGTCAGCATAATTCACCAGTCAGGATTACTGCTGCACCATACCAGGAAAGTGTTCATGTACATAGTAAATAGAATACAGAATAATTTTCTGTCAGTAAGCTAACTTGTTGAGCCCTTTAAATAAACATCGATTAAACCTCTGTTCTTATATGCAAGAGAAAAGTACTCTTGCGGGTGATGCAACCTGTACTGTTGTAGGATGATACATAAAATAAACCACACTGCTTTGGTTTAGTTGTCATATAATGGACTGTATTAATACATTTGAATTCACTCTAAACATTATGTACATGAACACTTACTTACTTACTTACTCATGGAGCTCAGCCCTTCTGGTGGAGCTGCCAATTCTGCAGCTACTCAAGAATCTCCCAGCATTTTATGGAACCTGGAGGTTCATTACCATGTTCACAAGAGCCTTCCACTGGTCCCTATCCTGAGCCAGATCTATCCAATCCATACCATCCCATCCTATCTCTCTTAAGATCCATTCTAATATTGTCCACCCACCTACGCCTTGGTCTTCCCTGTGGTTTCTTTCCTTCTGACTTTCCTACCAATATCCTATAAGCATTCCTCATCTCCCCAATTCGTGCTACATGATCTGCCCACCTCATCCTCCTTGACTTGATCATTCTAATTATACTTGGAGAAGAGTACACGTTATGAAGCTCCTCATTATGCAGTTTTCTCCAACCTCCTGTCACTTCATCTCTCTTCAGTCCAAATATTCTCCTCAACACCCTGTTCTCAAACAGCCTCAGTCTGTGTTCCTCCCTTAATGTCAGAGACCAAGTTTCACACCCATTCAGAACCACAGGTAAAATTATAGTTTTGTACATTTTATTTTTATGTGTTTGGACAACAGACGAGAAGACATTAACACACTAATAGTACTAAGGGCGTTCCATGTATAATGCCTGTTATTTTTTTTAAAGAAAACTACAACAGATGCAGAAATCATAATGCAGTTAAATGGAGCAAGATTTCAGCTACTTACAGCTATTTTTCCACATAATTACCACCATTCCTTATGCACTTTTGCCAGCGATGAACAAGAGCCTGTATGCCATGCCCATAAAAGTCTGCGCCAGCAGATGCTAGCCACTTTCTTACAGCTGCAATGACAGCATCGTTGTCTGGAAAATGTTGCCCACGTAGTCCATCTTTCATAGGCCCAAAGAGATGGAAGTCTGAAGGTGCTAAATCGGGGCTATAAGGTGGATGTGGTAGGACAGTCCAGCCAAACTTTGCAATGTGCGTGGTGGTTGCAAAACCGGTATGAGGTCTAGCGTTATCATGTTGCAATCAAAAGGTTATCTGCTTCTCTGGCCTGACTCGGGAAATATGGGCTTTCAGCTTAGTCAGCATCATCTTGTAGCGTTCCGAATTGACAGTCCCTGGTCGTTATCTGCTGATCTATTCGGATGAGGCGCTGTTCATTGTGAGGAGTGGCAGCTGAGCAGGGACACCCATGGCGTGGCTTGTCGTGCACTTCACTTTCGCCACTGTTGAAACGCACTACCCACCGAATCACTGTGCTGACATCCACGGTATTGTCTCCGTACACCTTTAGCAAGTGTCGATGGATGTCAATGGGTACAATTTGTTTGGCAGTGAGTAATTCAATAACACATTTCTCTTTCATATGCACTTCTATGTCAGACGCCATTTTGGTAGACTGCTCTGCTGTTGCTATCTGTCGCATGACAACCAAATTAACAGTACATTGGCGGGAAGGTTCAACCTTTACTACAACACCACCAACATCCAGCTCAGACGTTACATATTAACACAAAAAAATAGGAGGCATTATATACGGAACGCACCACGTAATATATACCGTAGTCTCTTTCTGCATAGCAGTAAAACTGGATTGTTAGCACTCTGAAAGCAAAAACTCATGATTGATTATTCTGTTTGACTGTCTTATGTGTGTAAATTTAAAACTATGTAAATGAATGATTTGGTGGGGGGTGTATCTGAGGCCCAGAAATTGAAGTAACCAATAACTGAGTATAATGTTGTCATGTGTTGCCTATGTAACGCAACAGATAAATTGATGCAGGTCTTGGGTTTGGCTACTATGTTTATTGATCAATCTGTTTGACACTTCCAAGCACAATTATCATCCACTTATATCGTTGTCAGATGTTTCTTACCATTACTGCTGCTATAGTCAAAGCAAAACTGAACTGTTCTCGGCAACTTCCAGAACTCGACTAACTGTCTGGTCCATTCAAAGCTGGACTTTTATAACCTGGTCTCAGACAGAATAGAACGCACCATCTAGGAGCCTTTGGCCTTGGCTGCTGTCATGCAGTGAACCCTCTTTTGTCTTTCATCCCCAGGGAAATGTGTTTGTTGTCCTTTCATCTCCAGGGAAACGTGTTTGTTGCTTAAGGTATTCCTAGGCAATGGCCCACTATTATTGCATTTCCGTGGAAGTATACAGTTGTAGGATTCCTGACACGGGACACACGGCTTAAAATCCCTCCCGGAGGATTTGTTCCCTGAATTTTTCCACTCTTAAAAATTCCATGACCTCCGCCGGGTTTGAACCTGCGTATCTTCAGTCATGAGGTGGGAACGTTACCCCTAGACTACAGAGGCCACTAACTTTCAAAGCTAACTGAAGGAGCACTTAATATTTTCATCAGCCCTTTTTTTGTGATACTTGGTTTTCAAGAAGTGAAGGTAAAGGCCTGCAGCCATATAGCACACCCACAACACCCAGTGAAGAATAATCACTGAGTTTACAAAGATATGAAGAAAATTTCTCTCAGAACTGTAAAAAGATTTTGAACAAAAGACTTTATTGGTCATGAAATTACTTGGTCACTGTATGAGATATTACATTAGTCACTTCAAAAACTGTTATAATTTTATCTGCCTTTCAATAACTTGACCACTTGTTTTGTGTGGTTATGAAACACTGTCTTTTACTTTATGATAAAGTGGGATTACAAGTATATGTAACATATTTGGCCCTACAATGACTGAAAGGGAAATGAGAACATTTATGATATGTATTAATTTGTATGGATCAGGTATAGATTAAGTTGGCAAAATTTCTGTTCTTTTCAGCTGGTATTTTGGCTTGTTGATATCCATGGTACTTAATTAAAAGTACTTTCTAATTTAAGGACAATTTTTTAGAATAATTTTAGTTGAATGATTTGTCTGTCCACTACAGTAAATTGGGAAAGTATTTTAATGTTACAGGCATTGTGGCTGGAACCCAGCCTGTAAGGTTCAACCCTGTTATGGTTGTTGATCCTGCCAGAAGCACCATGCCTGTTCACTCATCCTTTGTGACAGAAGGTAAGCAAATTAAACAGTGCTGTATACAAAAATGCAAGAACTATAAAGTGAAGAAAAAATTTTCAGTTTTACAGACTTTGTCATTTCTTTCTCATTGTCTCTCCATATAAATGTATGATTATCTATTTCGTTATTACAAAATAATTTCTATGAAAATTAGAAAGAATTTTAACCATGTTAGGTGGGTCCCTGTCATCACGCCATGGCATGTCCTCAGGTTGTGGATGGAGGAGGCACCCTCCAGTTTTGGAGGGAAGCTGTGAATATATTGAATAAGCAGTCACAGACAGCCGACAAGGGGTGGCCCTCCAGCTTGGGGGTTGGGCATGGGGCTAACAACTCCTCACTGTAAAAAATCATTATGTTATGAAAATGAACACAGAGCCTCGGACCTGGACTGATTCCTTGGATAAACGACCTAAGCTAATGAAAATGGATATGAGATTTGGCACTTGGAATGTACGAAGTTTGTATAGGGCAGGTTCGCTCAGGGCAGTGGCAGAAGAAATCTGAAAATATAAGTTAGATTTAATGGGAGTACAGGAGGTCAGATGGGATGGAGGTGACATCGCACCAGCAGGAGACTATACATTTTTCTATGGAAAGGGGAATGAAAATCATGAATTAGGTACAGGTTTTTTCATACATAAGAGAATCATATCAGCAGTTAAGAGGGTAGAATTCACTAGTGATAGGATATCATATGTAATACTAAAAGGTCGCTGGTGTGATATCATTGTTATGGATGTTCGCACCCCAACAGAAGATAAAATTGATGACATAAGGGATAGATTCTATGAAGAACTAGGACATGTATTTGATAAATTCCCGAAGTACCCTATGAAAATTTTGTTAGGAGATTTCAATGCCAAAGTAGGGAGGGAAGACATTTTCAAACCAACAATTGGGAATGAGAGTTTGCATGAAATTAGTAATGATAATGGAGTTAGAGTTGTAAACTTTGCCACATCAAAAAATCTTACTGTCAAAAGTACAATGTACATCATAACATTCATGACATAAAGATAGGAAATGGATGTTATGAAAATGTGGCAAAGTTCAGATATTTGGGAACAATGATAACAGATCGAAACCTGATTCAGGAGGAAATTAAGAGGAGATTGAACTCGGGTAATGCTTGCTACCATTCAGTCCAGAACCTTTTGTCTTCTCGTCTGTTGTCCAAAAACATAAAAATTAGAATATTCAAAACTATAATTTTGCCTGTGGTTCTGTATGGGTGTGAAACTTGGTCTCTGACATTAAGGGAGGAACATAGACTGAGGGTGTATGAGAACAGGGTGTTGAGGAGAATATTTGGACTGAAGAGAGATAAAGTGACAGGAGGTTGGAGAAAACTGCATAATGAGGAGTTTCATAATGTGTTCTCTTCTCCAAGTATAATTAGAATGATCAAGTCAAGGAAGATGAGGTGGGCAGATCATGTAGCACGAATTGGGGAGACGAGGAATGCGTATAGGATATTGGTGGGAAAGTCAGAAGGAAAGAAACCACAGGGAAGACCAAGGCGTAGGTGGGTGGACAATATTAGAATGGATCTTAGAGAGACAGGATGGAATGGGATGGATTGGATAGATCTGGCTCAAGATAGGGACCAGTGGAGGGCTCTTGTGAACACGGTGATGAACCTTCGGGTTCCATAAAATGCTGGGAAATTCTTGAGTAGCTGCAGAATTTGCAGCTCCTCCAGAAGGGCTCAACTCCATGAGTAAGTAAGTAAAAATGAATTTTAGCAGTTGTGCATCCTGTGAGTATGAGGAAACCACAGCTAGCATTACCTCCACTAACTGATGACTGACTTACTGATTAACTAACTAAGCGACTGCATGAAGCAGAGTTCATTAGAAGCAGCTCATCTAGCCAGGAAATTTGTTCTGGAATTCAGGAGTTTATTACCAAGTTCACAAAAGTCTGCTACTGGACTGTATTCTAAATTAGTTAAATTAGTCCATATTCTCACATCCTGTTTCTTTTATGATCCATTTTTCTATAACTTGATTGTGCCAGAGAATCCAACCAAGTGAAGACCCATTGTGACATTTCGTAACATGCTAGTCTCTCTTTGTGAGGAATTGTTAACCACCCATGCAACTCCCAAACTGGAGGGCTGCTCTTTGTAACTGTCCATTATTACTTGTAAAAAGGTAAAGTTGTCCCAGTGCTTCACCAATTAAGCACTACGCCATGAATATGGAGGCTCCCTTCCAAATATGTGTATTCTTGCTTTGTTTGTACTCTTTATAACACCTCAGCATGGACCACCATAGAAAACCCTGTTTCTAATAGTATCTCTGTTGCTGCACATGGGCTGTTCCTACAGGAACCTGTTTTGTTTGCTGTCATTGCCTAAAAAATGGGTCTGCCTGCTACAGTATATCCTTCCTTGTGTTTGTTCTGGTGGCTGGAGGTATGTACCAGCTCTATCAATCAAGCTGAACTGATTGGGCTTTTTATGTAATGATGTCATGATGGAGGCATAGTCCAGTGTTGAAACATTGTTTTGAATAAAAACATGACAGAGGATAATGTCCAAAAAGTTAGTAATTGTATAAATGTACCATCATCACATACTTTTAAATCTTATCAGCATAAATATGTATATTACCTAGAATGAGCAACATGTCTTTTATATGACCATTTGTGTCTTTTCTTTTTGTACCTGAGGCTGTTCTCTGGACATGGTATTGCAGGTACTTTGGTTCAAACAGAAGGATCAGTACTGGGTCAAAGCAGCCAAATGCAGCCTACTTCAAAACCCAATGCCTCTCCTAGACCTAGCATATTACGTAAGAGGGACAATGAAGGGTGAGTTTAACTGCATATTTTAGTATTTACAGCTAAATATAGGAATATATTGAGTTATTGACATAAATATTTACTGAAGTTCATTTGAGGTTTTTTGCTCTGCTGTTCCTAAGAAATGGACATCATGTTTTTAAATCAATGCATTTTTTCCTCTTAATTATAATACATATATGATTGAAGCTCTTCAGTTGGATTTCTGCATTTCATCTTGAATGGTTCATTCTTCCAAATTTTTTATCGAAGTGCTGTAAATATGTGGGGCAATCCAAAAGTTACTGAAATCTGAATTTTGCACGCGAATGGTTATGAGTACATCGAAATACCGCAAGGTGTCTCCTCACACATCCTTCTTGAATCAGTGTGGCAAGCGGCGTCGAGTTGAGTGGTTGGGTTTATTGTTGGTGAACATATTTCCATTGTTGTGTTTCCGTGAGTTTGCGGTTTTGCGATGGCTGACCTGAGAGAGCAGCGTGTCTGTATAAAGTTTTGTTTCAAACTTGGGAAAACTGCTGCAGAAACGCACCAAATGTTGAAGCAATCTTTTGGTGAAAACAGTTTAGGCCAGACACAAACTTACAACTGGTATAAGCGTTTTAAAAATGGCCGAACATTGACACTGATGATGACGAACGTTCGGGACGGCTGTCAACGGGCAAAACACCAGAAAATGTCGCAAAAGTTAGGGATCTGATTCTGCAAGATCGTAGACTGACCATCCAAGACCTCTGTAACACCTTGGGACTAAGTTATGGTACATGTCAACGAATTTTGTCAGAGGAACTGAAAATGAGGAGGATTGCGGCGAAGTTTGTGCCACGACTGCTGCAAAATGAACAGAAGCAGCATCACTTGGAAGTCTGCAGGGAATTTCAGCAACAGCTTCAAGAGGATCCAAACTTTCTTTCGAAGGTTGTCACTGGTGACGAAAGTTGGGTTTATGGCTACGACCCTGAAAGCAAGCAGCAGTCGTCACAATGGAAGAGCCCTTCTTCACCTCAGCCAAAAAAAGCTCGACAAATCAAGAGCAACATTAAGTCCATGTTGATCTTTTTCTTTTTCTTTTTTTTTATTGATGGGATTGTTCATAAGGAGTTCTTCCCTCCTGGTCAGACAGTCAGTAAAGAGTTCTATCACGATGTTCTAAGGCGTTTGAGGGAGGACATGAGGAGAAAACGTCCAGAGAAGTGGCGCATGAATGACTGGGTACTCCACCATGACAACGCACGACCGCATACAGCTTACATTATGCAGGAATTTTTGGCTAAAAACAAGATGGCAGTTGTTCCCCACCCACTGTACTCATCAGACTTAGCTCCATGCGACTTCTTTCTCTTCCCCAAGATGAAAATCAAGTTGAAGGGGCGAAGATTTGATACAGTTGAGGAAATTCAAGTGGAAACGCAAACGGTACTAAACACCCTAACAAAGAAAGACTTCCAGGATGCATTTGAAAAGTGGCAGAAACACTGGGATCAGTGTATGCACTCCCAAGGGGACTACTTTGAAGGTGATGGTGCAGAATAAGATCTAGGTAAGATGTAATAGATTTTATTAATATATTTCGAGAACTTTTGGATTGCACCACGTATTCACACTTCTGTACCATCTCGAACTAAATCCTAACATGAAAACTGGACAAATACACTGATATCAACAATGGGCGATATTAAGACCAATGTTTCCGAAACCTCCAGGCTTCCACGTCAATCTAGGATAGCAGTGAGAAGTAACAAGAAATCACGATCTGATTTTACGCAGTAGACTACGTGAAATATATACCATTCTTCTCCTTCATTACAGCCAGGCTTCCATGTCAATCTATTATAGCAGTGAGAAGGAACAAGAAATTACGATCTGAGTATACACGAAACTTAGTACATAAGAACCACAAGACAGCAAGCACATATTAATATGAAGACCCCCACCCCCCCTTTCAGGACATCGACGCACGTCTGTGGAAGGTTACACATACCTAAGCACTACAACTAACCAGTATTTTAAATATATTATACAATAAATACTTTTATCCCTTTTTTATATTTTTCATGTCCTCTATATTATAACAAATTTTATTAGATAATAAATTTCCAAAGTATGCTCACTATGTAAATATATATTTGCTCGCAATACAACCATCATCTGCAAGAATACAGATCTGTATCATGACCATAAATTTTAATCACTTGAGTTATGTTCATAGGTGCCTGATGATGACCTAAATTGTATGGTCGAAACAGGTGGCACAAGTTATGTTTGCATTAAACAAGTTAAATATATACCAACATCTGTTATCTTCATTGAAGATATCCTGACTTTCTTTGTTGTGTCAACAGTTATAGTGTGAGTAAGTAAAAAGATTAATATTGATGTCATTCATACTTGGAAATGAGCACGAAGTTCCTTGCCCACCTTGCACATGAGAACTTTCCTATCGTCAAATGCCTCCATGCCAAGGTTCATCATGCTATACACAAAGCTATGTGCACATCATGTGATGCCTCTTGCCATACTCTTTTTTTGTAAACACTTTGTCAGGTGTGTAGATCAGCCTGTGGCACATGTCAGGTAAATGGAACCTCATTTCCATATCCTACTTGGTATTTCTGTTGTCAGTGACATCACTACTACATCTTGGATAGGCATCACCAGTACACTTACCTTATCTTTTTGTTCTGTAGATCTGACAGTTATAGTAATATTTAGAACTCTTAAATGCATTACAGAAATATGCCACGAAACTTCCCTTCTGGGCTCACAAAACCACAGAATGCTCAATGTTGTATAGACATATTTGTCACAGTATTGGAATGTTGTCACTGCATATCCCCTGCCCCCAAAAGTACTAGTGTTCTCTCACCTTCCACCTACAGGCAAGGACCATTTACTGGCCATGTACAACCGTGTATGGCAAGAGAACTCAGTGCCAGCCACTTTAAATGAAGCAAAAGTCATCCTGATTCTGAAACCCAGCAGAGATCATTTCCATGCAATCAGGTGCAGATCTCACTGTTTGTATACACAGTGTGTCCAGGATCCATTAGGACTTATTTTTTTAAATTTTGCCGTGTAATGCCACATGTTGGCAAGTTGTGATGCTAAGATTCTTGAAGTTTCAGCTGTGGCTGTCTATAATTTCAAAGCGCAATCATCACTGCATCATGTGTTCTGACTTTGAATGTAACAGTACTGTTCTGACACTTGTCAGAAAATGGCAGCTGAACAGAGAGCCAACATCAAATTTTGTTTGAAGTTAGGCAAAACAGCCGGAGAAGCGTACGAAATTATGAAAAGTGTGTACGGTAGTGATTGTTTGAGTCACTCAAACATTTTTTGATGGTATGGTGTATTTCGTGATGGCAGGGAGGATATTGAGGATGCTCCACATGCATCAAAGCTGAGAACAAGTCGCACTGAGGAATTGTGAATAAAGTGACCGAAATCCTTGCATCAGACAGATGTGTTTCTGCAAGACTCATCGAGGAGCTTTTGGGAATACCAAAAAGTACTGTGCATCAAATTTTGACCAAGGATTTGGGCAAACGGAAGGTCTGTGTGTGGTTTGTACCGCATGCGCAGTCAGGCGATGGAAAACATGCCAGAGTGGAGCACTGCAAAGACATGTTACGGTCGACCCAAAGTGATATAAAATTTACAAAATCGATTGTTACTGGTGATGAAACATGGTATTTTCAATATAAGCCTCTCATAAAGTGCAGAGTGCAGTGTGGTTGAGCCCAGAGAAGCTGAAACCAAAGAAAGTGCGCATGCAAAAGAGTTGAGTAAAGACACTGCTAACCGTTTTCTTCGATTCCAAAGGAATCATTCACAAGGAATTTCTGCCAGAAGGTCAGACAGTGAATTCTGATTATTATCTCGGAGTCCTCAATCGTTTCTGGGCGAGAATTCTCTGAATTCGACCTGAATATGGAGAGCAAGGTTCCTGGTCGATCCTCCACGACAATGCCCCACCCCACAAAGTGAAGATCGTGCGCGATTTTTTGGCCAGGAAAGGGATCACAGTTCTTGATCATCCTCTGTATTTGCCAGATTTGGCCCCAGCAGATTTCTGGTTGTTACCAAAAGTTAAGTTGGCGAAGAAAGGAGACTGTCACGACACCATCAGGACATCGAAAGGAAATGTACCACAATTTTAAATGTGATTCCACAAAAGGAGTGCAGTGACTGTTTTCAAAAACTTTTCAGTAGATACCAGCTATGTATTGATTCAGAAGGAGACTATTTTGAATAAAAAGAGTGAAATTTTGAAAATAATTAATGTTTTATAATTTTAATGAACACAGTCCTAACAGAACCTGGACACACTATGTATGATAAGCCATCGACTTTTCTGTTTCCTGGGGAACAGAAACCTTCTCTCATATGGTCAGTGTTGGATCCATTCTTGATTATGTGATGAAACTGAGGTGCCATATTCAAAATTTTTTCCTCGTTTAACAACAGCTTGTCACGTCACTGTTTTCTTTGACACCATGTTTCAGTATATTGTTCTAATCCTCCACAAGTCTCTTCTGGGACACTGACTTGTCTGAAATTGTTTTGTGGTTTTCCTCAGTCCCTGTAGTGAAATACCTGGAAAGTACCTCATGTTAAGCCATTGCCATCTCCTTCCCCACTGTTGTCACTTATTAGTTCATTTGATCATCCTACCATTTGATGCATTATAGTCTTGAGATACTGGCAGTGCCTTCAAATTAAATGTAAATAAATAAAATTTAAATTTTATACAAGTGCAGATAGCCATGGACACTGACACCCACTCACCCCCCCCCCACACCCACCCACACACACACACACACACTCCGTGATTTTAGTCTGCAAGCGAACTATACCGATTGAGCGACCGCCACTTGTCTGTGAAGTTTAGTTCCAACTTTTGCGGATAGAGGGTGTTGCGTAATCAGTGCAACGAATCCCCATAATCGTTAATTTCAGTTTTCTAGACCGGAGCCACTATTTCCTTGAAATAGCTCCTCAATTATCATCACAAGGCTGAGTGGACCCTGTTCCAGACCCACTACTTTTCAGAAAAAATCTGGTAGCTCTGGGAATCAAAGCCAGACCTCTGGCAGAAGGACCAGGAACTCTGACCACTAGACCACAGGGGTGGTCACCCCACACACACACACACAAACACACACAATTCAGGACATGTTTTAGTAATATTATGTGATTTTATCACCACCACTGTTGATTGATATGAAGAGCCATTATGAAAGTATGCTCTGAAGAAACTTGTGGTAAAGTTTGTGAGACAGCTCATTCTAATCTTCTCATTGCTTAACGATCATTATGTTGCATTGCATTATAATACACAGACTTGTTTCTTAGCTCCCCTCTGAAGGCGCAGAAGAATCTGGCTCCAGTTTTAGCTGCTTTAAGCAGTGGGGCCCCGGTCTCTCCTCCATCACCGCGGCGTCCTGACTCACGTGGCAATGGAGGCAATTCTTCTGGTGGCTCCACTACCATTTCAGCTACTTCATCTCCAGAACTGGGTGAAGCAGGAGATGATTCTTTACCACCAATAAAGCAAGAACCAGTTGACGAAGGAGAAAGACCCCCAGTTGAGATGAGCCCTCGCAAAAAACCCCGTAAACAACAGCTGTATGTATGTGTTTGTACTCTTTAATTATTAAGGTGATGAAAGACTCATACTAGTTTTATGCATTTCTGTTATCCTGTATGTGGAGCAAAGTCTCTGTGGTTAACAAAATGTCTCTTAATGTAGGTTGGCAGATGTGAAATCCTAAGCATCACACTTAAGGTTGAAAAATGTGCCCTTTATGTTCTGTCTGCTTTTATTGAATATATTCCCTGTAATGTGCATGCAGTTAGCATATAACTTGATTTACAAGCAAAGATTATTTGTGCCCTGATGAAAACAGTAGGAAAGGACAGAGTGCCCTCAATTATGAGAATTCATAACATTTATAAAAGTGCTTATTCTGTTACTCATAATGGATGTGTTGTACTGCTGGATCCAGCAGTACAACGCATGCAGTAACAGGAGCAAGACACAACATAGAACACGATACACAAATATATGTAGGAAGAATGCTCACATAAAAGAGGATTGGCGTAATTCACGTGTTTGAGTGCGACGTAGGAAGAATCCTGAAAAGTTTTATTATTTAGAATTTATCGTCCTATATAACGAATACAGATTTTAGTCATTTTAGAATGAAGACATTATGGCATGCAGTACAGTAGTTTAACGTGCATAAAGACACCTGAAGATGGCACGTTAGTGCTGAAACGTAGTGTGGAAGTGAAGAATAAGGTGAAAAAGTGTATACACTCTAAGATGGTCAGCATAAACTATGGACATCCTGTATATTTCTTAGTTGTTGAAACTTGAAGGAGGTAAGCTGGTGTCAGGATCTGGAATGCAGACATTCTCCTCAACAAGGGTAGAACAGAGAGGGTGAATTACAGGATATGTACAGACTGCTAGCCATAAATAATAATATTTTTTTTTTTTTTTGCTAGTGGGTTGGGACTAAGTCCCTTGTACTGCGGCCACTTCTGGCCTATTGTACAAGCCCAAGATGATAGGTGAGGGTGATTGTGGAGCAATTCATGGAATGAAGATTGGCAAGGGAAACCGAAGTACTCGGAGAGATCCTGCCCCAGCGCCACTTTGTCCACCACAAATCCCACTTGACCAGACCCAGGCTGCCACAGTGGGAAGCCAGCGACTAACCCCTTGAGCTATGGAGTGGCACTAGCCATAAATAACTTCAGAAGAAAACTGGAAGTACATTTGCTGCAAAAAGTTATGTGACAATAGTAGCATCTCCTTACAAAACATTTTTATGAAAAAGATGCAAGAAAGAAATCTCTTATCTTATGCAATGCGTTTTCATGTTTGTAACATTAAGAAATTAATGGTTCCAGTGGTTTATGTTACTATTATGAGGTCCTCATTATAAACCGCACTCACCCTATTGAGTTTTCACTCTAAATGAGTTACTGTGTGCTGATTATGAAGGACATTTGTACATTTGTTATTTAGGTTTCTTCCATAGAAGCCATGTTAAGTCAGCATTTATTTTCTATCAACTTACAGGACTGGTAATGAACTGCATGAACCCAAATTCAGTGAAGATGATATGGAATTTATTGTGGAAGAGAAAAATATCAAGAAAGAAGTGAAAGAAGGTCTGTATCAGCTACAAAAATAAAATATAATTTTCTCCCTGTTCTTTATTAGTTCATGAAAATACACAGTATTTTTGCAGTTCTGATATGAATTATTGTGTACTGTACATATTACTTTGCATTACAGTTGCATTCTGAAGATTTTAATTTCCTGCTCCCTTTTCTAGAAGGAATTTACAAGCAAAACTTATTATGAAAATGTTAGTGGGTTTTCCTATAGGTGTATCTTTCTTGCAATTCTTTGGGCTTGCATAACATTTACACCAGAAGAGTGGACTATTAAATTAATGAGTACCATATATACTTTTTAACAACAGATTTATATCTGAAAGTTGTAGTGTGTAATGTATGCGAATACGGTTTTTAGACCATGACTTTACATGTTGAGCTGCAGAATGGAAAAATATAGTTGCATAACACTGAGAAAACGTGAATTATGTGAGAAAAAGAGGCATGATTGCCATTCTTTTCCATGTAGTTTATAACCATAATTCTGAACTGCTTTACTAGTGAAAAGTTAACATAAGCTAACAGTAACGATGTAAATTCTTTGAATGTATTGAATACAATACAGTGCATTGCTTTCACTATAACTGCGCGTATTGATTGGTAATGCCATGCAGAGGTACATTTCTAATAGCATATTGCTAAATTTTGTTTTTTTGCTGCAGTGTTCAAAGCATGTTGTTTGTTTATATACAGTATTGGAGGGTGTGTTTTTTGTAATTTTGACCCAAGAAACCAGCATTTTTAATTTAATTCAGTCATGCAGTAGTTAATGTGTGTACCTTGACATCCAAGTACTATTTAATGGGCTGCTGTTTTTGTTCATCCTCTCAGGATGCTAAGTTCAGTTTCATATCTTGTCAGAATTGTCTCCAATCTTAACAAACTGAAAGGTATAGTTGTACAGTTAAACATGAGAAATCATGTTGTGATGTGACAGTGAAGCAAAGAATAATGAATTACCTGTTTCCTATAGCCATTAGTGAGCACACTGCAAAAAGAATAAAACGGAAGCACAGCAAGAGAAATTCTGAGATGTGCACTTCTGCTTTCTTTTGAATACCCAACAAAATAAGAATCATATAAACTGTTATCAGACTTGATTTTAATTTGTATGTCATTTGTCAAACTGTATGTGATTACATCTCGTAAGTGAGAAGCAGAGTCAGTTGTGTGTGGATGAAACTTAATTCCTTATCAGTCTTTTGACATTAATTCACCCTATGATGGCAGTTATTATTGCTTAAATTGCACACAGTTAACTGAATGTACTTAAAAATACAGACTTCTTTTGTTAAAAATTTTTGGAAGGCTTTAATACAAAGTAACTGGTAACTGAAGATTATATTTCCCTCACACGTTTTGAACTATGACCACTTCGGTACAGAACTAGTTTTATGGAAATATCAGTAAAACATTTCATGAATTCTACATGACAGCTAGATAAAACTTGCTACCAAGAAATGAACACTGTCACTGAACAGTCTGTTTGATGTGAAAAGAAACTCACAAAGGCGTTGAAGAATTTTTATAATTTTTGCTGTGGCAACTATCTTTAACATATCTCTTATTTTAAGAGTACTGTACTCTGGAATATGACACTGTGTGGTAGTCTAGATGAAGTTTACCAGCATCTGAGAGGAAGAGCTACGTGGAACACGTATCAGAAGACAGTAATCTTCATAGCCACTGCCATGAGGACCTCAAGACTGATGTCCCTTATGTACTGGGTGTGGGTTCAGATTTCAGTGAGAGTAATCAGTTATGCTCTAATTTTTTCATATATTCCTTAGTCATAGTTTTCAGAACCCCCCATAGTAATTTTCTGTTTGTTCATTGCCAAATTACAATTGTTTCACACATGAATTATCATTTTTGTTACAAATTTCAGTGTCCGAGGAGTATGAAGAGAAAATCTACATACCAAAACGCCCCAGTATTTCCCTTATGAACAGCTACAGACATACTTGGAAGTCTAGACACAATCACTATCTCCGCTACAGTGATGTGAAACCAAAGGATGAGAGACGACCTACTGTGATGGACCTTGCAAACCAAAAACAGGTTCTGCAGAAGGTGAATGGATGGAAGATCTATCACCTCAGTACACAAATGGAAGATCTTGTAAGTATAAAACTGACACAAACAGATGGAAAGCTTTGTAAATGTAAAACTGCCTCAGATACAGTGGAGTCTTATTAGTTACTAAATAGTGTGAGACATAATTGTGTTACATTAATGTTTAATGCCAGTTATACCTGTATGTTACGCACCTCAAACAATACCACAACTTTCTTACTATGTCAGGTGAAATTAGCATTTGTAAATAAATTCCAAAACTAAATATCTTTCTCATGTCACACTTTGAATGAAATTAAGAGACTTGAATTAATGCATTGTGCTTGCACCAAGCATCTGCAGTTGGAGCAGTCAATCTGGCTCTTGCATGAAAATACTGTAACGTGTCTGGAATCCAGAAGTCACTTCTATGGAAACGCTAGAACAGACCGTTGCATAAGAAGTAACAATAGCGATACTGTAATTCCAACAGTGAGCTGTTGTATCGAGAACATCGAATCTCCACGGTAACGACAAACAAAGCAACGTCTCCATGGTTATAACAGAAGGTTCATTTGCCTAGCAGCGGCGAGGGTATAAATAGGCCAGCTTCGATGAGAAGTCTTCGGTCTCGGAATAGTCTCCGAAGAAGAAAGTCTCAGAATAGTCTCCGAAGAANTGTATGTTACGCACCTCAAACAATACCACAACTTTCTTACTATGTCAGGTGAAATTAGCATTTGTAAATAAATTCCAAAACTAAATATCTTTCTCATGTCACACTTTGAATGAAATTAAGAGACTTGAATTAATGCATTGTGCTTGCACCAAGCATCTGCAGTTGGAGCAGTCAATCTGGCTCTTGCATGAAAATACTTCGCAGAATTTATATCATATGTAAAAATGCTCCTTCTGACAGATAACCATAATGTGCAAAAATGGATGAAATGTGTAATTACAAGTTGTTCCCTAGCTTTCATTCATATACAGTACTGTGACATGATAGTAACTCTACATGGGTTTGGGTTGGAAATAGAGCTCGTTGGACAATGAATTATCTTATTTACAAATTATTACAACATTCTACAGGTATAATTATCCCTCATTTTACAAGCTCTCAATTTATGAATCTTTTCTGCAACAAAGCATGTTAATTTGTACCTATTTTTCACTTAACAAACTTGATTTTCATTAAAGTGAACAGCTTACAAAGAACTTCTTTTATGAAGGCCAAGAAATACATAAACAGCATGTGGGGAGATAGGGAGAAGCAGACATTCTCACCCACATCAATCTCCCACCTTCCCAGTCAGTCTGTGTGCTTCGTAATCATACAGAATCAGCATGGCTCCCAAATATGAGGACGTGAAGCTGACCATTCACTTCCAACTAGTACCGAGGTCAAGAAAATGTGGATCTATACATCCACTCCCCCATATGTCTTCATTGTGTAGTGCTTAATTAGTTAAGCATGGGGATAACTTTACCTTTATGGCTCCCAAATAAGTGAAAGTGATTAGAAGAGGTGTTGATAAGCGAAAGAAAGTAAGGAACACAATAAGTTTGGCTATAAAGATGGAAAGAATAACGAAGACTGAAGGAGCGCAGCATTCAAAAGAAGTATGTATGGCCATGAATTTGTCAGCTTCGACAGTGCTTAGTATCTTCATACAGAAAGAAAGAAACAAGGAAGTGGCAGAATATTTGTTTTCTAGCTATGAAGATGTGTGATGTAGTAGCTTTGTTTGCGCAGGAATGAAGCTGTATTGTTGCATCACAACTATGAGAAAATAAACATGAATAAAAGAATACAGTTTCATTTGCAAGAATATCATAAACAAGAAATACTGTCCTTTTTAATGCTTATTTGCCATGAAAACTTGCGTTAAAGATATTGGGAAATGTTTCTGGGATCTATGAATGAGTCGGTGGCTCTTATGCGTAAAGTAATAGGATTGTAATTTTCGCCTTACAAACAGTTTTCATGGCATGAATTGCCTTTGTAAATTTAGGGATTCCTGTATTCACAGTGGTTACATAATCTGTTGGACCCCTTTTGCTTGGATCATCAGTACTCTGTCATCACAGACTTTGCTAGGTTATAGGCTGTCTTGTCACATACTCACCATGCTAGCTTGGAGGCTGTCTGTGTATTGCCTTGTGAACCAACAAGACAATGCTGAGCTCATCAGTATGTCAGCTATTATGGTGATTTCCAATGCCACTGGTTTGTATTTTATCATTACATTGCCTAGTAACGGATGTCTCAGTGATGTTTCGGTGATACCCCAAACTTTCTAGATATCAGACATCATGTGACAGTACAATAAGGCACTAAGGTTTGAATCATAATGTGGATATGACAGTGTTGTTTCTTCTCTTAAGTGATTATCATGTGGATATAAAAACAAAAAAGAATAATTCAACATTATCATCATTGTTAGCAGTACTCAAACTGAAGAGTTAAAGATTCTCTTAAGTTTCCATAAACTTATTTGCTCACAACCAATTAATAACTGCGACTATCCATTATGAGCAGAATTTCTGCCCAGTATTTGCTACATGCTTGCAAGTTCCACCTGTATTCTACCCATAATACATTGCATGTGCATATGTGAGAATAAACACACGGACTTGTTTCAAACTTTAGTGGCAGACATAATACATAATGCAGTTAAAATTGCATCAGTACTGTAATTATGCATGTGCACTATGTTATATTGGTTGATTTTAGTATATATAGTATTTCTCTTCTTCTGTACCATAAACAGTATTAAAAAATTAAAGGTAAGGTAAAGCTATCCCTGTAACAGGCCATGGAGGCTCATAGGGTTGTGAGACGTTGAGGGTCCCACATTATCTAGACAGTTGGCTCACAGATGGCGGTAAGGCTACCAACCTTACACACCAGCCACCCTTTACGCCCCAGGAAGATTCCTAGTACTCGTTTCTGTTAGAGGCTTAGTCTACCCCAGGACCATAGTGCAGCTAGAAGGATTAGGCCAATTAAAAAAATTCCACCTCATTGGGACTCAAACCTGTGATCTTCCGGCTTGTAGCATAGTGCCTCAACCAACTACCCTGCTGTATGCAATTAATCCATCTGAAACTCGTATTTCACTTTTTGATGATCCACTGACTCCACACAGATCTGTTATTTTAAGCTTTATATTCAGGTTCAAACTGTTCCATTTCAGTGCGATAATCAGCGTTTTTCAAAATGTTGCAGTTGGTACCAACCTAAACATAGTATATATTTGCTGGGAAACAGAACTTTAAACATATGCTTACACAAGCTATATTTTGTGTGTGGCATCACAGTCCATGGTCAGTGGAAACAGGGAATTTGGAAACCTACATGAAAAGGAAGGGAAGGTACTTCATTATTCCTCTATAAACAACACACGCAACACATTGCAGGGTGAAACAGGTTACTGAATTGAGGAAGTTCAGGGAATTTCATTTGTGTACACTTCTAAATGCTTGAAACTTGAACAGGGTAAGCTTGATAAATCCCTTATACTATATAGTGGTTTTCCCTTTTGTAACATTAAGAAACTGATGATTCCAGTGGTTTTTGTTGTTATAATGAAATCCTCATTATAAGTCATACTTCATCACACCTTCACTGCATTTGCCTGTGTCTTCAAGTGATGACTAGGGCCTGGATTTTTTGAAAATGCATATGCGCATATGCAAATGCATATTTTGAGGGTTTTGGTCGTTACTGCATATTCTAAACGTAAGAGCATAATTCTGCATATATGTTTGAAATTAAGGATAATTTCATTATTCTCTAACAAAATCGGTTTTGCTTGTGTTTTGGACATCCCTTACCAGTTGCTATTCTCAACTCTCTGAGTAACGGCACTTTTACCCTTACAATACAAGCAGGTAGCTTGGCTATTTCGAAAGGGAGGGGGTGGGATTTTCCTGCATTCCTTTGACCACCACAGCAGACAGTAGCATCAGAGGGTTGGTCTTGGAGAAGTCTCTTCAGTTAATGTGTTGCTTTATTCTTTAATAGTCTGCATCAAAGAAGTGTTCGTGTATTGAAAATGCCTAAAGAAAAGTGCAGCAATAGATATTTAAAAAATCGGTGTGTGTTGGGTAATAGTGACTATTCAACAGACAATGTCTTCGTGTACTCTCAAGTTTGCGCAAAGGAAGTGAAATGTGAAAAGAAATTTCAACTTGAACAACACTCAAGAACGACTGCACATATTACAGCAAAGAAGGGGAAGAAGAAGAATAGCACACCACAACAACTGATTCTTACACAGGTCAAACCCAAGTCCTCTGTTAATACAATTTCAGCCGATACTTGTAAGGCTTTAGTATGCAGCAATATTCCATGGAATAAATTAAGCAATCCAATTCTGCGATCATTTCAGGAGAAATATTGTGTAATTAAAAAAATCCCAGATGAATCAACTCTTAGAAAAAATTATCTACCTTTGCTGTATGAATCTACTCTGGAGTCAATCCGTTCTGACATCAGAGGGAACTGTGTTTGGATATCGGTGGATGAGACAACTGGTTTATGTGGCCGATACATAGTAAATTTTGTAGTTGGTATGGTACATCCAGACGAACCCAGCAACCCTCATCTTCTTGCTTGCAAAGTACTAAAGAAAACCAACCATAGCACAGTAGCAAGATTTGTAAATGATTCTCTGCGACTACTATGGCCGTCTGAAACTGAGAATAATTGTTGTAAGATGCTTGTACTACTCACAGATGCAGCTTCCTAAATGTTGAAA